GGGGGGGGTCATGCACATTTAAAATTATTAAAGATATACAAAATAAGCAAAATCAAGTTAAACTTAATATACAATCGGAGCATCATGACCTTAACAAAGAAGAAAAGACCGACCGTGAATATGAAAATCGAATTCAAACAGTGTATAATGATTATGAAAACCGATCACTCATGGAATTTCTTGGAATTGCTCATAATAGATATTTTGTATCATTAATAATTTACATTAAATAGGAATGAATAAAAATATCAAATAATCAAATTTGTTGAAAATTTAAATATTTACATTGATTTAATTAAAATCAATTTTTTTTTTAATGTCTGATAAAATGATTTTCGGCGAAATGATACTGTCGACGAAATGACCCCGTTGCAATCGGATTTAAATATTCCATCTCAGTCACTAATGCCTTTAATGGTGATCGCAAATAATAAGGTATAAAAGAATTTATTTAACAAATACGACATTTAAATTTTTTTTTCCTTTCCTTACATGTCAAGAAACTTTCTGGAAAAATATAGACGAATACAATTTAATACAATTTGATGGATATGTTTTAGCAAATCTGTTTATTTATCACAAATACCTTTTACGGATATAGGTTTGTTGAAAAAAATTTAATGTTTGGAAAACTGAAAACTGAAATCTGAAATTATTTACTTTATGATTTTTTATTTTAAATTATTAGATATGGCGTTTCCATTATGTAACAATGGATGTAAGGTTCATTTAACAATAAGAATTTTAAAAATTGTCGAAAGGCATCATTCGAATTATGTATAGTTTCAGATTTGATATAACAATGGAAATAGTATGAGATGTTTTTTTTATGAAAAAAAAATTTTTTTATTGTCATTATAGAGCCAAATATTTCTTATATATTTAGGATCGTTAGTACTAGCTGCATTCTGGAGAAGATATTGTATTACTGGATCTATGAAATTCTATCGTATTTGTAAATAAAATTTCAATAATTTTGCTTATATACTGTGTACACTTAACATCCAGATTTACTTGTGATCACCTCAATGGCAAAAGAATTACAACGGCTGGTAGTCAGCCTCTATATCAAACTGCTAAATATCACTTTGTGATAATTTGTATAGAGATATTGGATGTGAAGAAAAGCTTAAGACTTATTGATTTTTGATGCCTTTAAATATTAATACAGTAATTTTGCAATGAGAAATCATCTTACCAGACTGGCAAAAGATTGATAAATTTGTTTGTAGAAACTCTATAGGCAATTTTGGTCGATTTCGTTATTCTAATATTAAATAAACACTCATACCCGTTTATAAACATCCTCTTGATTATAACATAATAAAACCCTCTTTGTAAGAGTACGAGTTAATGCTAATCAACATACTTGACATATTAAATAGTAAATTTATTTTCATGGCAGTTGTCCTTTTATTGCAAAAGGTCCCACCCATATACCCATATGAGACAAATAGATATTTATTAACAATAAAAAAAAAAGATTTTTTTAAAAATATAAATTAAATTGGGCTAATGATTATGGCTTTTCTTAACGAGCAGAAGTTGTATCTAATTAAACCTTTTTATTATTATTAATTAAATCAACTCTTGTCAAATAATAAAAGTTGTACTTTGATTTGTATTCAAATCTGATTATAATTTAACTATATATTATGTATTTTAAACAATAATTAAAAAAATAAAATTTTGTTTTAAATATATACAGTAAGTCCATTATTTAGAAACCTTCTATATCCTTTTTTTAGGATTATCATATTTATATGATTTTATATGGGCTCCGAAGGCAAATATTTCATTACTTTCCCAGTCATCAATATAACTATTGGCTTATTCCCATGCATAGACTTTGATGCAGAATGGTATTGCCAATACGCCTTTATACATTGATTTTACTGACATGATTTTTTTCGCACATTTTTTTGAGATAATCGAAAAATCGAAAAATCTTCATGTTTCAACAATTTCATTAATGATTTTTTAGTTATTTCTCCTGTTATATTTCTTGGCTGACCATCATTCATTATAATTATCTATAGTAAATAAAGTTATCATTAATGTTAAGAAAGCTTAAGTGAAACATCTAAAGCTTTGCTAAATTAAACTGTTCTATTCACCTCGTCTCGAATATTAACTAGTTTTATATATCAATTCATTAGAAATTTCTGGGTGCTTATTCAAAGACATGTAAGTTTATTCAAAGCGTGTTTGACAGGTACATGTGATGTCGTCCTATTTCATAATTGACGTAAAACGTTTTAGGTACTGTTTGAAGAAATCGGTTGAAAAATTGAGACATTATTTGAGAATATAAATCTTAGTAGTTTGTAAGTTTGTTTCAATTGATTAAAAAAATGTGTGAAAACTATCGGATGAAGGGTATTTAATATAACAAACTAAAACTTTTATACTCGATAACAAAAGGAAGTCTAGCCTTATACTTTATGTATTACATAATTATCAAAAATCAATTATTTCGTTTTTCTTTTCTTACTAAAGGCCATTGTTATCAGCATGTGAACATCAGATTTTTACGCAAATTTAAAATAGGCTTTACAGTGCGCTATTTGTAGTTATTTTATCAAAAGTATTTTTTTCATTACATTGTCAAAGATGAAAGGTAAAAATAACATTGTGACTTCTACTTGATTCTACATTATATTTTCCTTATTATCACTAGGAAACGGGAACCGTTATAAGTCCGGAGCTTTTTTATATAATTTAATAATAATAAAGTTTTACACTAATTACAGAAATGGTAAAAGTATCGTGGTTCCTTCCTTTATTTGTTGTTTACACCAATCATACTGATCGACTCAAACAACAAGCGGACGAGACATCCGGACATTTTGAGTCAAACAGCATGGAATTATATAGTCCTTCGCTACGCTCCGGACAATTAAACGTGAAGACTTGAATTATGTAAAATGCGATGATGACGAATTCGCTAGTCGTTAATAATAATAATAATAATTTATTTTCTTGAAATCATTGGAAACATTAATTTTTCGTGTTGAATTTTACCAAGTTTAGTTAGTATAATCAGTGCGCTTTTGTTTATTTTCCTGTTTTAATGTAAAGTTATTTTTATTTGCATATTATCAAATGAAAACTTTTTTTATTTACAAGTATTTGTATTGTGATTAATTTTTCTACGTGGATGGAACAGAAATTTGAGCGAAGATTTGTGAATTTCATGAAACGTGATTTTTGACAAGCTCTTGTTAATAATAATATTTTTTCGTTTCATGTAATTGATTTAAAATTCCATTCAATTTTTACAAGTATTTCATTAATTAATTTTTTCTTTCGTGTTGAGTTTTAACAAATCCAATTATGACAGACAAATTAAAGAGATAGTAAAACCGAATTTTTAAATTCAAAAAAAAATCGTTATTTGTTTAAACTGTGTCATATTAAGGTAGGACCTGCATGAAGCGCTCAATCAGTGTGTATGTGGTGTCCAAAATAAGTAAGAATTTTCAATTAAGAATGACAGATTTTTTTTTTATTTATAAATATTAATAAAATGATTCTCTTTTTAATCCAAATTAAAATTTTTAGTGTTACATACAATTCATACAATTAACCTTGATAAATCATAAGATCATTCTGCGAAATGAAGTTGGTATTGTGGCGCTTTCCGTTATTACGGTAGAAGTATACAAAGATGATGAAAAGGTTAAAGGAATAAAAAAAAAAGGTGCCCAATCACGTATAGTACTTAGGATCAGGGAACGGAAACCGTTGGTTAATCCGAAGCGAAAAAAGGAATTTTTTCAGTGATCACGAGTAACACAGTATCGACTCAAACAACGTGCGGGCGACCTGAGAGGGTTTTAAGTGCCATTTTTTAGCAAAACATAACATTTTGAAAAATATATACAGTGACGGTCAAAAGTATTGCATTAAATTTAAAGTACAAATTACTGTAGCTAGTAAAATGCATTTATATTTGTTTTAAAGGTTGAATATTTTAAAACAATTTTTTTGCCTAATTCATAGTGTAAACTTAAATAAATTGTCTGATTTGTAAAATTATGAATTTTCACTTTTTATTTGGAAAGGCTACAGTAAAAATTAATGTCAAAATTCGGTTCTCTTAGTGATTCTGAACTTGTATTTCAAAGAACGGTTCAGTAGTTGTGGTGGAATCGGCTTTTGACACATAAAATGATGATTTTTGTGATTTTTGTAGATCTTCAAAAGCACAACCGTTCTTTACAATTTTACAAGTTCAGAAACAATAAGAGAATCGAATTTTGACATTAATTTTTACTGTAGCCTTTCCAAATAAAGTGAAAATTCATAATTTTACAAATCAGACAATTTATTTTAAAGTTTTATTCAAAAAAAAATCTTTGTTCGTTTCTACTTTAGGAAAGAAAAGATCGGCAAAATTATTACGTGAATTCAGAATGTATGTTACATGAACAGCAGTGACAATTTTACAGAACAGTAACTCGGTTTTTATTTTTATTTATACTGTACGTTAAATTTTTTATAATAAAGTATATGCCACCAACATCATTACGATTTTCATTATTCATTATCAAAATAATATTGTTCTTACCATTCATTTTAAAGTTTTTATGTAGTGTTCGATTTCTTTTTCTTATAAACTTCCAGATTTGTCAAATACTTTTTGCATTTTACTCAACAAGATAAATTTATTATTATTTTTTTTTTGTTTCATGCAATCTTTGATTGGTTCCAACAGTTAGTTAGGTTATTTCAGTTTAGTATAAAAAATATATACTAACTTTTCTATTTTATTTATTTATACTTATCGTTATTATAATCGCAGATTTTTAATCTAAAAAAAAAAAGTATTTGAAAAATAAACAAAAAAAAAACCCTTTTTCTTTTTTAATATAAATACAGAGCAAAATTTTCGTAAAAAAAAAAAAAAAAATAAAAATAAAAATAAAAATCCCAAACATTTAAATTTATTAACTCACAAATCGACTAATTAATAAATTTAAAAATAGTCACAGAAAATGTATCAAAATCCAACAGAAAATTATGAAAGACACGAAAATTTTGGAAGGGATACCTTTTTCAACGTAAATGCATCTTATGATGGCTTTTCCACGACAAAAGATAATAAACTTAATAATCATCCAGTACCTTACACAGCTGCGTCAATGCCAACTAGTAATGACGAACAGTATTATTATTCTACAACAACTTTTGAAACTGATTCAACAACTTGCACTCCACAATTTATCGGTCATAATTCTAACGACCAACAGAACCCACCTTTAGAACAGAACCCACCAAGCATTTTTCCCCCACATAATAATCCACCAATTAACTCACCTATCATGACTAATGCTAGCTCTTCCCAAATACAAACGGTTGAAATTCTCGGTTATGAAATTATTATAATCCCTACACCTTCTCCGTTGGCAAATTTAACTAGTTTAGATATGCAAAATCAACTTCAACGAGGAATTACCCATTTAGATTATTCTTCTTATTCGGTTAACCCACCACAATTAAATCATTATAACTTTGCAACAAATGGATTCGATCCAACTTTGCAATACCTTTCTCACCAGCCGCAGTCGAACTCTAATGATCAGATTTACCTACCTAGCTCTCCTCAAATACAATCGATTCAGATTCCCGGTTATAAAATTATTATAGCCCCCACATCCTCTCCATCATCTAATTTAGACATGCAACATCAATTTCAGCAAGAAAATACTTATTTAGATTATTCTTTTAATTCAGTTAATCCACCACAATTAATTCAAGATCAAAACCATTTTTCTAGTGCAGGTGAAATTTCTATTAGGCCAAATGTTATTAACTTCGTTCAAGACAATACACAGCCCCAACATCAACAACAAAATAATTTAGGATTAAATGAATCGCTTAATGACTTCAACAACTTTTTTGGTTGATTTCACATCTTAAATCATTTTTCTTATTTAAATTTTTCATTTATTTTTTTCAATCATTATTTTATTTATTATTTATATCAACAAAGAATTATTTTTTGCTTATAAATAAAGTTTATCCTTTAATAAATTTTTTTTTTTTGGAAACTGTCCATGTGTGAACAATTTTAATTCGACTTGATATAACCGCTCCATATTGAAAGTTTGTTCTATGAACTTTCTTACGATACAAACCTTTAATCTCATCATAAAACTAAGCGTTATTTTAATATAGCTTATGTAAAAAAATTTAATCAAGTTGACGAAATTATGAAAATAGGTAAAAATATTGTTTAGTAATTATTTTAAATAGGAGACAAACATATATTTAGTGTGATATTCAACAACATTACGTAATATGAAAAGGTTCCGTCTCTTTAACGTTAGTTACTAAAGCGAAGTGCAAAAAAAAAAAAAAAAAAAAACCCCCAAATTATATATAATATTTATCAAAATATTTTGATAACTAACGAATTTCTTAATCACATTTCCAACCCTAAATTAACATACAGGATTCATTCCAGTTTTGTGTGAAAGCCAGAGGTTTGAAACTAAAAAGTAAACTTGTAAAAATTTTTTAGGAAAAAAAATTACTCATTTTCTTTATTAGGATGCCTTAAAATTATCTCAAATTATGATTGCGATAATGAAGAGTATCAAGTTGCTTATTAACATTGTCAATCTGAAAGACGAAATGGGTGAGATTGCAAATAATAAAGGCTCTTTTTCAAATGAAATATTAAATAATAAATTTATTCTGTAATTTATATATTTTTTTCTAAAAAAAAAAGGCTGTAGCCGTTATAAATGGCTTTGATTACAAATGAAACGACGTATTAGTTGCGGAGTGGCCTTAAATCACTTTCCTTTTCATGCTATTCAGTCATATAGTAAGATAAAGCATATTCAAAAAAATTTTTACCGTTTTATAAAACTAAAAAAAATTAATAAGCATGCTACATATATCCTAACAATCTTTACTTTCCTCAATCCTTTTATTGTTTTATTAATTTTATTCGTTTATTCCTTCAGCTTGTACATCATTGCTTAAAAAATTCTAGAATAATGATGTAATCATTCTTTTTCTAGAGGCTTTGAGGTTAAGTTTGTACCTAGCACCGAAAACCTGGACGACTTTTCAGAAAATTACCCTCTCTTCAACTCCGTCAACGTATCACGTTGAGCAACTTAAATATGTTACGGATAAAAGTGTTAAAACTTCGTCGATAAACCGCATGGAAAGTTGGATGATTGGCTCTTTATCGTTTGTGACGTTTTATATTTAATAAGCTACTTGTTATTGTTTACCGGTATATATATTGAAATTCCAACTGGATATCGGTCCCAAAGTGCTGAGTCTAGGTCTTTGAACCAATAACTTTCATGTATTTGGTTCTGTGTCTTTTGTTAATGACATGCTTATTTGCTCATGTGTGTAATAATCACGTGCGTTTTATTCAAAGTCCAAACAGTGGAATAACTTTTTTCAGATACAGTAATAATGAAGTGAAAAATGATAGAGTAACCCGAAATATATTATATGATTACAAGAGGGTGTACTTTCCTTGCATTTCGTAAAATTTTTACAGCTAATTTTGTTTCTATCTATATCGCTAATATTGCTAATTTTATCAGATTTCCAAAAAAAAATTATCCATTTTATAAAAGAGCAAGAAAAAGTTTTCCGAAAAGAATTTCTTAAATTCCGATTAACAAGAGAAATGAAAAACTATGCAAATACTTCTGATCCACTCTTACCGTTCTATTCATTTCATAACGTCTTATATCCAAACAAATTAGTTTCCTTTTTTTGACACTTGGTGCATTATAGAGATCTTATTTCAATTTTTCTATTTCTCTTCAGATTTTTGCATGTGACAAAATTAGCAGGACATATTACCGGGCTAACCAAACCCGATTAACAATGGCTCAAAAGTAAGAAAATTGTAATAATATAATTTAAACATTGTGAATGATTAATTATTAAGTTTAGCTGCTTTACACAAGTTATTAAAAAATTATGATATACAGCACTAAATAAAGCAAGAGGAGTGAGTTAATTGGGTTTCGGGGAATTTGGAGCGCCACTTGCCGCAGTATCAACAGATTTAGACTCGATATAGTAATTAATTAATTAATTCTAATCCACAAAAAAAAATAATGGTACAATTACTAATTATTAAATTCTATAAAAAGCAAAATACATCCTGATCATGTGACGATAAATGATATGAATTCAATCAAGAAATAAATATCTAAAAAAGTTTAGTTTAATTAAAAACAATCAATTATCCTTTATAATATAAAAAGTCTCGAAAATTCAATCAAAATTAAAAATGTTCATTTAATCAAATTATTTTTATTTTATTATTATTAATTATTTTTTTTCAGAACGCTTAGTAAAAATTTTTTTTTTCTAAACCGGTTATTCTTTCACAATGATTTTCAAATCTCATTATCCCAATATTGAAATTCCAAAAATCGGAGTTTATAAATATATTACAAGTAATCCTAGCGGAATTGATGATGACAAACCCATCTTTATCGATGTTACGACATATAAAAAATTATCTTTTGGTAAATTTAAAAGAGATACAAAGAGATTTGGTCAATAAAGTTGGATTTAAACGTGGAGATGTTTTGGCCATACATTCTCCTAATCACGTAAGAATGAATCATGCCGCAATCTAATAAAACTCCATCGTATATCACTAAAGGTTTTTATACCTTATTTTTAGCTCGATTATCCCATCGTGATTCTTGGAGCAATTGCAGCTGGTAAATTAAAAGTTATTTTTTCGCCCATCGATAATTTCAAAGTAAAAATGAAAATGATTACTGCCTTTTTGTAGGAGGAAAGGTTACCTCAATCAATTCATCATATACGGCTCATGAAATCATTCATCAATTAAAGGATTCTGGTGCATCTGTTATTATTGTTATTCCTTTATTGCTTACAGTCGCGATCAAGGCCGCAGCAGCAACAAATATTTCCGAATCTAATAATTTTTATTTGGTGAAGAAGGGATTAATGGATTTCAACCTTTCTCGTCCTTAATATCCGAGCAAGAAATTGATCCAATACGCTGAACCTCAAGGTATATATATTATATTTTGCTTAATGTCTAAAAAAAAAAAAAATCTAACATTAGAAAAATTCATCTCTAGAAAATTTTTTCATTGTCGACCGCGTTAAAGAATTAATTAAATACAAGGTAAATACAATAAATATTATATTTGTAAATTTAATAATTTTTAATAATTTTTTTTTTGATTAGGGATACCAAGTGGCTCCAGCCGAACTTGAATCAGTATTACTTACTTATCCATCAATTGCTGATGCTGCGGTAAATGGTGTATATTCTAATGAAAATGCAACAGAATATCCGGCAGCTTACGTAGTATTACTAGGGAACGGGGACCGTTGCTAAGTCCGGAGCATGTGTAACGAAAGTAACCAACAACGTATCGACTCAATTTTTGAGCGGGCGGACATCGGGACATTTTTGTGTTACGCGTTCTAGACAATATAAGTCCTTCGTTAAACTCCGGACTAACAAAAAAATGTAATTCAATCTGATGAGATAAAAGAAGAGATTAAAGAATTTGTCTCCCAAAGAGTTTCTAATCATAAAAGATTACGCGGTGGTGTATATTTTACTGATCAAATTCCTAAAAGTCCCTCTGGTAAAATTTTGAGAAGGTTATTAAGAGATAGATTTAAGAAAAAATATATTTCAAAATTATAAAATTTTGATAGAACATTTTATTATGAAAATTATAGATTTTTTTTTCAGTTATTTAGAAGAAATTTAATCAAATATGAAAAATATGATTTTTTGACAAGTATTCAGATCGTAAATAAACAAATTTTAATATTAGTCTTTTTTGAAAAGTCTAGACCTATAAACGAAATCAAATTCATGATATTTCTGATAATTCTTTTAATGACTAAACATATTGTACCGGTTATGTTAATGAAAATAAATAATTATTAATTTAAACGAATCAAACAACTTTTGTACTGAAAATTCTCTAATTTATTCAAGTGAGAAAGATACCGATACTTTTTCAAAATAAATTAATCTTACACGTGCTTCTTCCGGTGATAATGTCATTTTTTTTTGATATCTATTCCCTAAATGGTAAGTTAGCGACACCCATTCCCACATGTTCGAACAGTAAAAACTAAAAAACACAATTTTCTTAATTTTCTTATAGAAATCACTTTTTTTCAGAAAAGATAACGATAAATTAAATTCATCTACGTTCTATTTTTCTCGTCTTGCAAATAACTTTCATTACTTAAAAAAAAAAAAGAACAACCCAAATTTTGTCAAAAAAAAAAAAATCAATAAAATTTAATAAATTTACGATGGATAGAAGAGTTATAAATTCATTTAACAATAACGGAATTCCAAATGATGACAGCTATGCTTAATAACTTTTCTTTTATGAGTTATAATAATAACCTTCCAGTGCTGTACACAAATAAATTTTAGCTTTATAAAGAAAATACTTTATAATACAAAAGTTATTAATTAATGATTTTTTTTTTTAAATTTACTCAAAAAATATTATAAATTTTATTTATAAATATTATTTTTTTGATAACGAATTTTTAATATACTTAAAATTAACTTTAATTAGTAAGTAAAATTCCTTTTAAATTTGGAAGAAATGGATACCATAGAATTTCAATTAGTTTTAACCATTCTTACAACATTCTTATAATATTTCCTTTGAAATGTATCGTATTTGAGAGGTTAAGAGGTTTATAATGATTTATTGCGATTTTTTTATCAAGTTATACTACAGTAATATACATCTTTTTTGTGCATATTTATTTATACATGTATTTGCAGGTCATGATTAAGATACATTACACATTTTATGGTTTGCACTTTAAACTTGAGTGTGCATTTCATTCACATTTCATCTGCAGGTACCTTTCATTTATATTATATTTGACATGTCTAATTGATAACAGCGAATACATCACATATACTGTATAACATACAAAAGTTAAAAAATTTAAGCCTAATAATAGTGATAGATTTATTTTATTTCATTATTTGCGTATAAAAAAATGCACTATATAACAGTAATTAATTATAAGATGGTATAGATGGTATGATAATATTAAAAAATTTTTTATTTAATTAAATAAAATATTAATAAAAAAAATCTATCTTATTTTCTTGAGGAATTTTATCATAGCAATAAATAAGTTTTTATATCTTTTATCTTGACTTGTTAATATTATAATTTTGAAATTTAGCATATGATTAAATGGAGGTCTGACTGTAATTGTGGTTTTTCTTGCGTGCAAAAGTGTATTTGTTGCGCAGCAAGGAAATTTTATTCTGTTTTTTAACAATGCTTTTTTAAGCTAAAAATAAAAAATAAAATAAAAAACGATACTAGCTAGTTAATTAGATATAAGAAAAAGTTTTGTGGATCTTCAGCGGAGACTAGTCCTTCGGTCCTTTTTAAACAATATATCGTTAAATTTGAGATTGAAAGGAATATTTTAGCATGATGACATTAATTTCTATGACCTCGAACTTTTAACTATAAACTCATATTTGCTATAAATTTCGAATCCCAGGCTTAGAATACGTGTAATGGTAATAAAAGCTTATTTTAACAATAAACGAACTAAAATATAATATGCAAATTAAAATATTAACTATATTACCTAAATACGAGATACATTATGAGTAGAAAGTGAGGTCCGATTGACTTATCACAGTCAAGTGCTTAAGAACCAAATATTAAATTCTTGGATCAATTTTTCTAGCTTCTGATATAAATTGATAACCAGGATTACGCTAAATGACAACAATTCAGTTGATTTAACAATTAATAATTTCTTAGTCAAATTTTTCATCAAGGTAAATAAACATACCATGCAAGCTCGCCTAATATTCCACCACTTATTCTCACATTGATCAGGACTATAATATATGTTTACACCATAGAATACCACTTCTGATGCATGCTCCCAGAGCTCCTTTTTAATGGTAATGTCACCAATACCACCACGATTTTCTGCTAATACCCTTAGCACTTCTTTATTTTCTTTCAAAAAAGTAAGTAATAATATAATGCTACTTTCTGTCCATTTGATTTTTGATCCAAAAGTTTCGTAAATGAGAGGTTTTTGAATAGATGATAAAGAAGTCATTGTTTGCGTGATAAATATATTTCCTTGTAGTTGAAATTTATTAGACATATTAGATTTGCTATTAAAAGCTTCTCAAGTATGGCAATTAAAGTATTTATGATTGGATAATGTGGATTGTTTAGAATTCGCATTTTTGAACTTGAGGGGTTTATGTTTATACTATATATATATATATATCGGATTTTTTTCATAGTGTTATATCTGATACTGCGAATAATCGAATTAAATGAACATTTATTCATGTATATCTTTCGTGACTCATGCGTTATTTAATTCGATCATTTAATAATAATATGTAAATAAGTTCTTATCCCGCTCAAAATAAATATATTTTTTTTCATTTATAAACTATATTTCAGCCCCATGTTTCCTTTTCGAGAAAATAATCGGTTTAATTATTCTTCTTAAAATTCTCATTCGTTCCCAAACGTTTCATCATATGAGTATTGAACACATTAACTAACGTGAGATTTTATTGTTTTTAGCCTAAATCCTGTAACTTTCTGATGATCTATAAACACCTCCATCTTTTTTTTATATTTTATTATTACTATTTTTAGTATATCAAAAATGTTTGATGCAATGACTATCTTTGAAATCTAAATAATCTGTACAAACAATGCGATAGTATCATTATATTACATTTCTGTCCTTGATAATTATAACAAGATTTTCTTGCTCAACAAATTACTAGGTTAATCCTTAATTCAAATATTTATATTATACAAAATGTAACTGCGAAATATGATCTTTTTTTTTCCTCTGAACCTCAAAACAGCCTTAAGTATTCTCGAAGTGTATCAATATCAATATGTAAATGCGTAATTATAAAAAATTGTTTGTAAATAAATATGCCGGTCTAAATAAGGTTAGACTGTTAAATATTGATTAAAATTGGTTGAGATATGTGGATAATGCGAAAAGGCGGGGAAGATTTTAAATTTTACTGTTTTACAAAGAAGGGTATATAAAACAGGAAAATAAACAAACGGCGAGATTAAAGACGATAAGATAAGGTACAAATGATAGATTAATCGTTTAACGTGATACAACAGATGTATTGATAAAAAAAAATCCAAATTATGATAGTGTATCATCCGGGTATTCCGTTTTTAAAAATGAAATTTTTTTTTCAATTGCGTACTTATATAGAGCCGTCCCCATCTTTTGTGTGTTCAAATAATTTTCTTCATATATTGTATAAACTAAAAATGAAAATAAGAAGATAATGACGAATTTATCTTTTATCACGTGAAAAGCACAATGTAGGAATTAATATTTATGATTTATATATGACAAATTAAACAGCAAGCTTATTGTATATTGTAAAAATATTCATTGGAGGCTCGTAAGAAACAAGTTATCTTGTGGTATCAAATTTAAATCTTTTACTATTCCTTATCACTGAAAATTATATAGATGGATATAGTAATCGTGATCGAATAAGAATCAAAGTTCGCTACTTATTTTTAGAAAATAAAAGCAATGTGATTGTGTGATTGGTGGATGGTTTGGAAAATATCATACTCGGAAGTTTCAATCTCAACTCCGAAAAAAGAAGTATTTTCGTATATTGTCACAAAAAAAAAAATAACAATCAATAAATAAGTTATATCTGATTCATTCAATAAAGAATAGAAAAAAGATGATATATAGATACCTATGCTAAATTCTACGCAAACATTAAACAAAAATAAAAAAAATTACGAAGAAACCTTTTCAGAATATACTATAATGAACGCACTTTGGCAATTTGACCGCTAAACTTTTGTGATAGATTTTGTTTGGTCAAAATAATTACAATGAAAAAAATGAAAAATTTTTTAACTAGATTGTGCTACAATAAATGCAATAAATGATGCCTCCGAATCGGGACGAATCATATTGTAATACCTTTCCTGCAAGTTTACTTAAACTGTTATTTATTAAAGTCAATTTTTACAAAATAAAAACAAAAGTCAAAAAATAACTAAGTAATTAGGGATGTTTCTTAATTAACCAGTTCCAACTCAGTGGTTCATTCGGTTTCCGGTTCTGTTTTAAAAACAGGTTCGTTTCAAGAACGATCCTCATGATCATTGTGTAATTAATATAATGGTCAATCTTAAAAACTAAAAAAAAAATTAAATTTTTATTTTTATTTTTATTTTCAGAAAGGGCTTACCGGATACCTTGAAATGGTAAATTGTAAGGATGGAACGGGAGATTATTTTTTACAAAATTATCAATAAACGTTTACTAACGCTATTTTTTATTTTTTATTTTTTTTTAGAAGGCACATTCGGCACTTCGACTTGGTCTTGTCATTTACAATAATGTGCACTTTAAACATCGACTCAATGCTAAATAAGCTTGTCCAGCAGAAAATATTTGATTATCAATACTTCTGGTAAAGTTAATCCTTGCATTTTATGCACTGTAAATGCAAAAGTATTTTGTAATGGAAATTGACATCTGCTTGATGGTTTTCCATCATATATAGTAACTTCTCTCTTTATTCCAATATTAACAATTATACCTATTACACTAAATGCTATTCTTACTTCTAAAGCTTTCAAATCAATATCAGTACTATTCCTATAGTATTATTATAAATATTTTATTGAATCAAATCATTTTAAGATACATTACATGTGCATTTTATTGTAAACATAAATGACTTGATAGATTGGTTTTTTAAATTAAATTTTATGAATTATTAGAATCATATTATTACATATTAATGAAATTAATGATCGTGCTAATCAGCATTATAATATTACATACCTTGAATTCGTCTATGTGGTTGGTTATTTTAGAAATAAAGGATAAAATGATCTAAAAATCAAAAAATTAATAATAAAATAAAAAACTAATATTACTTACTTGAAAGCAATTCAAACTGAAAACTGTCTAAAAAAGCATAAATAAAATTATACTTACTTAATGTGAAAAACTATCTAAAGATTTAAAAAAAATTAATAATCAATATTAATAAAAAACAAAAAAAAATAAAATTAATTTATTTAAAATGAAAATCTATCCCAAAAGATTTAAACAAAAATTTATCCAAAAGTAATCCAAAGTAAAAACCAATAAGAATCATCATTAAAAAAATAAAAATAAATAAAAACAATCCTACTTATTCAAAATGGTACTAAGTGAAAAATTGATCTAAAAGAAAGAAGAATCATTATTAAAAAAATAAAAAAATAAAATCCCTTCCCTTTTTATTTGAAATGAAAATCTATTCTAAAGATATAACAAAAAAAATTAATAATCAAACAAAGAAAAAAACAATTTTAGTTACCTAAAAATGATACTGAAATGAAAAACTAATCTAAAAAAAAAAGAATCATTAAAAAATAAAAAATAAAAAAATAAAATCCTTATTTTATTTATCTAAAGTGAAAATCCATTTTAAAGATTAAACAAAAATTAATAATAAAATAAAAAATAAAAAATAATCTTATTTATCTGAAAGTAGAATTGAAAATGAATCAGATTTATTGAACTTTAGTAGTTAATTAATTTAATAAATCAGATTTATTGATAATTCATTAAATTCAATTCAAATAATGCAATATATAAAAATATAATTAAACCTTTATATAGTTAACTTCTATATAATTACACTTCTTTATAAGTACCCAATTTCGAGAAATAGGTTTAATTAATATTAAATTATCTTTATATAATCACAAATCAATTATAATCACTATTACCTATTTTTTCTAAACCTATATATCATTTTTATTAATAATCAGATCCTTTTATAATCACTATAATTTTGGTTAAATTATAATTTTAACCAAAATTACAAATCATATAAATTATGATTATTATATAAATTTTCATTTTTATAATTTAATATTATGCAAGTTATCTAAAAAGAAATTTATCAATTATATTTTTGTAAAATAACTATCACTATAAATGGATATAATCTGCAAATCCATAATTACATACAGTATAATTATAATTCAAGCTAAAATTATGATAATTTAAAAAAGCGTAAATCTATATAATTACAGTACATTTTTATACCATCACTTATTTTGTTAAAACTAATTAGGTAGTTATATAAAGAGACCATTAGTCAATAAAACTTAATAAATAATGATATATTGAAATCTATTATAATCTGATATTTTTTTATATATAGAATTTTTAAATATAATAATAATTTATTTTTTAGAAATCTAATAATATTCAGTAGGGTTTCTTAAAAATTGAATTAAATCAAATATTAAAGCAATTTGAATTTAATTTGATTTTTTTTAAATTAAATCAAATCAAATCAAATTAAACTCAAATATTTGATCAAATCAAATTGAATTAAATATTTGTCAAATCAAATTAAATCAAATCAAATATAAATTTTTTTTTGATTTTTATAATGATATATTAAAACTTTAGAATAACTTTATTTTAATTAAAGAAACCATTATTAATATATATTAAAAGATTTTAAAGATGGCTTTACAAAGTATATTTAGTAACAGGTGAATTTTTATTAAGAAAAAATTAGTAAAACAACTTTACAACTTTAGTTTTATTAAGAAAATTTAGTAAAATAAGTAAAATAACTCTGTAGTTTCAGTTTAACAAAGAAAATTTAGTAATAATTAACATTGCAACTTCAGTTTTACTAAGTAATAATCGCTATCATAGCTTTGGAACTATTTTATTAGTAAAAATTATTTTTGAAATTATGAATACATTTTTTATTAGATTTTTTAGTAAAAATATTTCTGAAGCTACAAAGGCATTTTTTACTACAATTTTTTATTAAAATAACATCTTTGAAGTTGTGAAAGCATTTTTATTATATTTTCTAAGTAAAATAATGTCTTTGAAGTTGCAAAAGCGTTTTTCTTTTTAGTAAAAAAGACATTTCTGAAGTTGCAAAAGCACTTTTTACTATAGTTTTCTTAGTAAATACTATATTTGAAGCTTTGGAGATAATTTACTATTTGATTCAAATTAAATCAAATATTAAATATTTAATTTAAATTTAA